ATTGCTGTGGACTTAACTGTTGGCTCAACTACATGCTGTCGTGGAGATCCCTTTCCTGATTGGGCGTTAGCGGATGTCGTGATCATATGTCAATATGGTATCATGGCCGCCAAATGTCCAAAGACAACGGCTGAATCGCAGACGAAAGATGCCGTCAGTGGAAGAAATTCTGGAGATGACCGACGACGTTGCAGTGTGATTGTGTAACAATGATCCACGAGAAAAGGTCCCAAGAAATGCTGAAGATACTTATATCTCGGCGCCAATGGCATTTCCCAGACCACAATATTCTTATTTCTCAAGCAGAGGGACAAGATGGCCGCCAACGAAGCTTCGATTGAAGCGGACAAGATCACTGCCGTCCAGTCTAGTCCTGCTTCGGTCGCCAGTTCTCCAACCAATTCCGCCGACCTCGACGACGTCTACCATCTGTACAAACGCAGTGATGATCAAGAAATCGACCCGGCCGAATCCAAAAGGGTGCTGCGAAAGCTTGACGTGCGATTAGTCCCTATCTTGTTTCTCATCTACTTGCTGCAGTATCTCGACAAAAATGGCATCAATTATGCCAGTGTGTACGGTTTGCAAAAGGGCACGAATCTGCACGGCCAAGATTACTCCTGGTTAGGCTCCATCTTCTACTTCGGTAAGAGCTGGCCCCGACCTCAACAATTGCGCCGCTGAACATATCAGGTTATCTGTGGGCGCAGTACCCGGCAGGGTATCTCTTACAAAGACTTCCAGTCGGAAAGGTGATTGGGGCCACCACAATCGCCTGGGGTATTATCCTGATCACAACGCCGGCATGTTCCAGTTTTGCCGGAATCGCTGTCAACCGTTTTCTGCTTGGCAAGTTTGAGGCAGTGGTGAACTGTTTACACTTATGACTTGGTTAGGTCTAACTATCTAGCTAGGCACATTTGAGGCAGTGGTGAACCCCGGGTTCATTCTCATTATGAGTATCTGGTACACATCGCTGGAGCAACCCTTGAGACTGGAGGCCTATTATTGCACAAATGGCATTGCGACCATGTTTGGCGGGTAAGTTTTTTTTAGGTCGATTCTTTTAAATCAGGATGCTGACAGCGTATCGAGCTTGATCGGCTATGCTGTTGGTCATATTACAACCGGGCTACCACGCTGGATGTACGTCTTTATTATATTCGGCAGCATCAGTATCGCTCTGGGCATCCTCGCCCTCATCATGCTCCCGGATCTTCCCTCGACTGCCAAATTCCTGACCGAGGCCGAGAAAGTGATTGCCGCGAAGCGTGTCTCCGCCAACCGGCAGGGAATCAAGAACCGCCATTTCAAGTCGTACCAGATGTGGCAGACGTTCAGAGACCCCAAGACGTGGATCTTGTTCGTCATGGCCGTCGGCGCGCAGGTCCCGAACTCGGCAATCACTCAATTCACGTCGCTGGTAATCAAGTCGTTCAATGTCGACACTTTGGGGACACAGTACCTTCAGATCCCCGGCGGCGCGGTCCAGTTCCTCGCCCTCCTCGGCGGAGGCATCATCTGCTCCAAGTGGCCGAATCTCAGATGCATCACCATGATCGTGGCCAACACGATTTGCATCGTGGGGTCTTCGCTACTCGTCGGGTTACCCGACAGCAACAAATGGGGCCGGATGGTCGGGCTGTGGTTGTGTTTTTTCCAAGGCCTGGGCTTCAGCATGAGTTTGACCATGGTCAGCTCCAACGTCGCCGGGTATACGAAGAAGCAACTCACAGCCGCGATCCTTTTCACCGGCTACTGCGTTGGCAACATTATCGGGTGAGTATTCTTGCGTCTTCTCCTCTCCAAAAAAAACCCCCCCAAAGTCATCCCCTCTCCCTATTCTTAACATTGTTTTCAACGACGAAACTGTGCCACTGATGGATCTTTTCAACTGACCCCACGAAACCCGACAGGCCGCAAACCTTCAAGTCGAGCGAGGCGCCGCGATACCACTCCGCCTACGTGGCCATGCTGGTCGGGTACACGATCAAGCTGGTGGCAATCGTCGTCTTGTACATCTACATGTTCCTCGAGAACAAGAGACGGGACCGCGAGGCCGCCGCGTCGGGCGTGGTGGAGGTGGACGAGGAGAAAGAGGCCATTGAAATGGGCATGCACGACGTCACGGAGCTGGATAACAAGGGCTTCAGATATACCCTCTAATAACGCCATAATGTCGGGCAAAGTGCTCGATCATGAAATGAAGATTTGAGGACCCCTAAGAACAGTCCGACAAAGGGGCTGCGGGAGAAAAGGAAAAAGCAAGTTGATCTGAAATCGTTTCTATCTCAAAGTTCCTCCCTTTTTCCCTTCTCTCTGCCTTTCTTTTCATTTGTGGGGTATCTGCGCTCTATCCTCGCTCTTTATCAACTTGGGGTGTGTTGTTCTGTTCCATCGTCCGTTCCCACATCTCTTGCGCGCAAGGCATGAGCTTCTCATGCCACAGGAATTTGCGGAGCATTTCCAGAAAGGCTTCGGAACACCTCACGGCCGGGGCGCTGACGTAAAGGCGCCGGAGCATGTCGCGCTGCATGGACGCTGGGACGCCGTAGTCGACGCCCGCGGACGCGAGGAGGAAGACGGCCCACGCAACAAAGTCACGCCCGGCGCAGTCGATTGGGTGCAGCTGCTCAAAGATGGACTGGCACAGCGTGCGCAGCGTCGTCTCCATGGACTGATACGTGCGTCGCGAGCTGTTGACGGGCCCCCTTCCCTTGGTGGTGACGTCGAACAGGAACCGGCCAAAGACGAAGCTCAGCGTCACAATGGCTTTCTCGAGCGGCCGGGCGCCCGAGTCCATCGACAGCCGCATCATCTCGACGGCGATGGAGGTGTCCACGGGGAACTCTGCTGGGCCTTTCTCGACCGTCTTGCTCATGCGGTAGAGAAGGCGGATCACTTGGATCGACAGTCGCGTTTTCAGGGCCAGGTCGCTGAATCCCTCGGGCAGGGCCGACAGGACTTTGGAGAGAGATGGCGGGAATGGATGGGTTGGATACGTCAACGTGCTGTCTGGGGTGATGTTGGTCTTTGGGGAACGACTGCGTCTCTGGATCGCATAGTCGCACATCATCTCAGTCCTGACAGGGTGTGTCAACAAGGGCGGCCACTGGACATCTGGTACTTGGGTCTAAAAGTCGTGGATTACTCACGCGGTGACAGAATATCGCGTTTGGGGCGGCATGTCACTGGTGGACAAGCCGCCGCGCAGATCGACAATGCGCCGCAGTCCTTCTCGATGTAGCTCGACGTGGTCATCTTGTCCGCGATGGAACTGTCGAGCAAGGCACATGAATCAACACTCTCTCGAGATCTTAGAGCATGGTTGCAGTAGGCACAAGAAAGAGAGGTCCAAGAAACTGCTTACATCTCCAGCCATCAATGCTAAGACGGTGTGGATGGTCACATCGTCGCAACACAGCCGCGGCACGGTGAGACGATGATGGAGCTTCCGCATCACGCTCCCTCGAAGGCTCAATAAGGTCTGCTGGAGCTCTTCCGGAGAAGAACCCAGCTGGCTCGCGGGTAGCTGACTCCATACGAACAGCATGGTCGCCTCAAAGAGCAGGTCAGCCTGCACGGCCATCCGGAAGAGGTGTGACAAAAGCCAGTTGCCCCCGTGGTCGTCCTGGTAATTGCCAAGGTTCATGGGCGCATAGATCTGGGTGTCTGGGAAGCATTAGTTGTTGACGTTTTGTCCACCTGCAATAGATCGGCGTCGGAGAGGATAGGGAGCCGTGATCAAGGAAACGGGCGTACAGTAGTCCACCGTCAACTGCACTCGGCCGGAAGACTGCATGGGATAGGAATTGAAAGGATCGCAGCGGAGACTCCCCGGGGCTGCCTGTAGGTGAGGCTCCCAGGAGACGACTGCCACGCGCACATCTTCGCTTTTGACACGATCATCATCGTCATCCCAGCTGGGTGCCGTTGATCTTTCTTCGGTCTGATCACTACCCACATTTCCAGCTTCCTGGGGGATTTGCTTCCAGGTTAGGACTCTGGGCCTCTTAGACCGAGCAGACTTGTCCGTCGCGGGCAGGGTGGCCTTGAGTTCCTTGCGCCGCTGGTTCTGGTAGGAGCTGACCTGCCATTTTTTGGCTCGCGACTTCAGCTGGTCCACGTGCGTGTATGTGATGAACATGATGGAGTAGAGAGCAGAGGCAAGAGGAAGAGGCTGTGGCCTCGGCGGGGAGGTATCATCGAGACGCAATAGTGGAAAACATCTTCATGACCTGTGTAAATAGAAGAGGAAGCCTATAAGAGAGTTCGAGAGGGAAATACACACGAATCAAGGAAAAACATATAGAGTCGACACTCACGACGTACCAGTTCTCGTACCGAAAATAGCCCCCTGAACCACCCTGACCACCTCAAGCATAGACTCGGTACATGTACCTGGTACCCAGCCCTATGCTTCATTCTTTGTAAGCAGCGCCCTGTTTCCTCGCCGGTGATTAGTGCTTTGAGGCCCCCAAGTACGCGGTAATATTACTTGTAGGTGAACTCGAATTCTTAGCGAAGAGACCGCCTGCGACTGTGCCAATCGGATGGGCTACCTAGGCGGGCGATTTGGCGAGCGATGACTCAACCTGCATAGGCGCAATCAAGCCTGTAAAGAGGCGCCGAGCGACGATCTCGAACGGTGAGAAACCGAGCCAACGAGATGAGTGGTCTGCACATGGAGGAGGCGCGAGTCAGAGGAGGAGAAAGCCACGAAAGTCCAAAAGATTCGATAGGCTGGGCAATGATGAGGGCACCCGGAACCCAGAGAAAGACACACCAAACAGCTCAGGTGCGACATACACGAGGCTTATTGATGCAGGGACGGACAACGAAAGAGACTAGGAAAACACCCGCGGCCACATGGTCAACAACATTACATTTTGGTGCATTCCCCGATGCAAAGAATACTAGAAACTGGCATGTGCACCCGTGCTGTGATACATATGCCCAATCCAACATTCTCGGTTATTCTGATATTATTATCCCACTCTTCAAGCCCCAATCTTTGCAATGGGTAACCCCTTCAAGTCCTCGGTGGTGTACTCATCGTGCCTTTTGAACCCTAGCCCGCCCACGCCACTGAGTCCGTCCTGTCTGCCCAACGGGGTCATGTCCAGCCAGGTGAAGGTGTTGATGATGGGCTCCCCACCGCGGGCATAGGTGCTGTAGCTGTGGTAGATCTTGCCCTCGTCGCCAATGCCGGTCAGCTCGCCACCGAGCACAAACACCGAATGACCTGGCTGCTCGCCCGTCGCAAAGTGGGCGAGCCCGCGCTTCTCCATCTCCGACTTGTCCTTGAAGTTGTACTCGACGGGCTTGACGGCCTCGTCCTGCGTGGCGCCAAAGTCGTAGTTGAAGCTGGACCCGAACGACGAGATCCAGGGAAACGTCCAGCCCATGCGCTTCTTGTACGCCCGGATCTTGTCGATCGGGGCCCGGCTCACGGCGACGAACGTGGTCGAGTGGCCGTTCAAATGGCGCAGGTCTGGCACCGAGTCGCCCAACAGCGAGCAGCTGGCGCATGCGGCGTCCCAGTCCGGGCTGAACATCAAGTGGTAGATGATGAGCTGCGGTCGTCCGTCAAAAAGGTCTGCGAGGGTGACCTCCTTCCCATCCTCGCTGGTGAAGGAGTACGGGGTCGTGACCTCGACCACAGGGAGAGCTCGGCGTTGGCGACCGAGCTTGTCGCGGGCCCTAGTGTTCTCCTTTTCGGCCTCAAGGAGGGACAAACGGAGAGGAAGGTATTCAGCCTGCGAGACGATCTTTGAAGGTAATGGGAGGTTAGCACCGAACAAACCAGTTGGCAGTCCGGGGGGGAGGAAGAGTAGCAGAAAGGAGCACTATCACCTTGATATTGACCATTTTGATCTTCTCTTCTACTGACGAGATTTCTGGGGGGTTTTCAACACGATGTGCGTTTCTGCAGTAAGTAATAGCAGAGACTGGTCTGAGGCTTGTGGACGAGATAGATAAGCTGCTGTCCTCACACTTTGTTCACTGAAGAAAGTCACAGGGAGCAGAACCCAACCCAACTCACCTTACACCTCAGCTCTTTATATTCAATCCCCTTGGCACCCTTCCACCCTTTTCTCTTGACCAAGTAATCCCTGGTCGTCGTATACAGCGGCACGCAAATGCATGCATCCCAGGCACCTGGGCTGAAATTACCCCGTTGCCGACGTATTGCATTTGCCCGGCGATACGAAAGAAGCGGTGCTCTCATTCCCCTCCATTCCCGCACTGGCTCAGGGTCTCCTCTGACGAAACTGTGCCTGGTACTACTGGTAGACGCTCGAGATCTGCAAAACGCGCCGTCAGCTGATCTGGCGTACGTGCCTCTCAATCCCCTGCCCCTTCGTATTCTCCGTCTTTCTGCCTGGCGGTGCCTGGAGCTTCATCACCACGCGCCATGGACCGCTGAAAGATTCAGTTTTAACAAGGGGGTACCACTCAGATTTTCTAATCAATGCTGATAAATCCTTAGAGCATAGGCTGAAGCATGGGAGAATGTGAGGCAATAGCTTCAATCTTGAGGTGCAGAGGGCTTGGGTTGGAAGTCTCACTTGTTGAGGCGACCAACAACACATATGGTAGGGATCAATCAGTACGGCATTGGTCAATTGTACGGACCCATCCAAAGTCTGACTTAAGAAATTGGTTGCATCATCATATCTTCATGAAAAAAAAAAACTTCCGACTTCTGGAGAATACGGGTCCGACGTGGCAGCAATCTTCTGGTCCTGACACGATCCAGACTTCCCGTCTCTTCAAGCTTCAACCTCCTGCTTTCGCGGGGTGAAGCACAGACTCAAGGGCGCCAGCTCTAGAGTAAAAGTATCCAGCGTCTTCTCAAGCAGCGCGGTTCCGTCCTCTCCAGGACCGAATGCAACATCAAAATTCAATAGGATCTGGGCGGTCACTGAGCGGATTTCCATCAAAGCAAGCTGTTTGCCGATACAAGAATACGGTCCTAGCGAGAACATGTCAATCCAGATGCGTTAAGAATGAGAACAGGCTTCCTGCTCACCAATGAGGAAGGGGGCAAATGAGTCGCCGCGCTTAAGCAATTCTGGCTTGCTATACCTGATGACGACATTAGTCGAGTGTCCTGGCAGTCATCTTTGGCCGCTCTTACCATCGTTCGGGAATGAAGTCGTCGGGATAAACATAGCATTCCGGAGCTAGGGAAATCATTTTCAACGCCGGTCTCTCACATTCAGAGGAGGTCAACTCACATCGAAACAAAGGATATAGTGGCGCCCACACGTTGACGTTGCCAGGAATATAAGTACCTCCCACGGTAACGCCTTCGACTGGCGTTAGCCGGGTGACCCCACCGGGGACAGGTGGATGCAGCCGGAGCGCCTCGTTGATTGCACCATTCAAATGCTTGAGGGTGAGCAACTTTGAGGCTTGGAGGTCGCCCTTCAAGGACTGAATCTCTTCTCGCAAGCGGTCGATTTGAGATTGGTCTTTGGCCAGATGGAAGAAAAGATGAGTCAACGTCGCAGCAGTCGTGTCACTTCCCGCCACAATAATGAGCCGTGAATCGCCAGTGAGCCAGGCACGTTCGCTGTAGCCGGTGCCCGTCATGGGAGGAGACTGCAAGATCCAGGATGATATGTCTGGTTTGCCGACCTTCATCTTCATTCTTTCCTCCATCATATCTTCGCAAAACTTGATAAACTTTCGGAACTCTTTGGTGATGGGTGGGAACTTCTCGAGGATGAGGAACAGCCATGGCACAGGTCCAAAGATTCCAATCCCGCGCTGCCCAGCGTTGAGGATCTCTATGGCCCAGTGCTTCTGCCCACTCTTGAGCATGTCAAAGTCTTTGGCGTAGGCCAGATCTCCCATGACATCGAAGCTGTAGTAGTTGAACCACTGTGCGGCGTTCACAGGCTGCCCAGAAAAGGCGCGGATCTGTTCGACGAGGCTTTGGGTGTACCGTTCGACGCGAGGTTCGTATTCTCGTAGTGCTGGGACACGTTTAGTCAGAGAAGCGTCACACCACAAGCACTTCCTCACAGTTTTGAGTGAATCCTCGAGCCCAGGCTTTCCGTCGGAGGTCATGATATTGTCTTGACCGGGTTGAATGCATCGAGGTCAACTCAGAATTGCCCTCGTACCAAGCGGTTTTGGTGCATTTGGAGGATGCTCCATAAAGGACTTCGACCGCATCGGGATGGATCGTGGAGATTTCATTGGGCCCTGAGAACATCAATCAACAAACAGATGACGACCTCCCATATGTTTTTGCCACGAACCCGTGCGGACAAAGGTCCCGTATTTCTCGTGCATTCTGGTCAGATGCTTGTAGTTGTCAACGTGCGGAGCCACCTTCCACACGTGCCATAGTTTCGATAACCTTGCGCCGAACGGGCCAGGAAAAGAGCGCAGTCTGTGGAAGAAAGCTCGGTAGAGGAACAGGCTCGAGTATAATCCGGTCAGGTAGGTGGTGTAGAGGACGGCCGTCTGCTGGAGAGCCAACACCACAGGGACCCCAAAGGTGAGCTGCGCTCCGGTGGCGATAATAGGAAACGTCACAAAGGCCACAAAATATTGAAATGCTTGACGATGGTGTTCTCCGTGGATGAAGTATGTCAGATGGGACACCACCCCCAGCACAGTGCCCACTGCAGCGATCTGGCTCAAGGAGAGCATCATGGCTGTGTAATTCCTGTCAGATGAATGGAGGCCAGAGTCTCAAGAGAGATACCCTCCTGTAAAGGAGCATTTGCCCTCTAGCAAAGGTCAGATAAATGCTGACCATATGTAGACAAAGTTCACATCAAGAAGACTGGCGGGGTTCGTTGTCGACACCACCGAGTCACCTAGTGTACGGAGGGTGCTTCCCATGTTCGCCGCCTTGCTCAAATAGTCCTACCGACTTCATACCTCGGAGCAATCCACACATGTTGGCTTGACAGACTCTGCGAAGACCTCCAGCCCCAAAGCAACTCCGCAAATAGACGACTGGTCGATGCGGGGATGCGGGTCTCGGTGCTCGGCGTGCATCTGGGGTCCCAGGCCTCCCTGACGGGCTTCAGGAGTCACAAGCAAGAGGTTGTTAAGACAGAACATGGCACCCACATGGGGATCACAGTGGTTGGTGACACGACCCTGACGAGTCAGTCAGTTATGCCACTTGGGTGCCACTTGTGGCCCAGTATATGTTTGGGCGACTAGGCGACCAAACCAATGACGTCAGGCGAGGGTTGGGGTACGTTCGACCATTTTGTTAGTTGCGCAGTTAGTAGGGTTGATCACAAGACCACAAACTGTACCTCGTCGTCACGACTCCCCCGGCCATCGACGTGTCACTCACTGGAGCATCATGTTCCTCACCTTTGCGACGAGATGTGCTGTCGATCACTCTCCCACGTCTCAGCGCCGTTGCATACCGCATGGGTTTAACCATGTCCGGACCCTGCTTGACACGATCATCATGGCCCTCAACGGCGACGATCGATTGACGGGTACAAAGAGTTGCAAAACAAGTGCGGCAGACTCGACTACTAAAAGCATCTGGGCTCTTGGACGACGAGACCGGAGACACTCAGAGCCGAGATGACTGGACTGTGTTCTGAGACGAACTCGACCTCCTTGTAGGATCTGGTTGGTGTTTCAAGGGGTTGAGCGACCGCGTCACATGGATCGATTGGGCGAGAGCTGGCAGGGGGTTTAAAGCGAGCTTCTGAAGAACCAGTCTAGGCCTCGACCACACGAAGAATACCTAGTACTCGTACGGGTATGTACTTCGCCCCCTTTTTGCCGGCGGCCATGGAATGAATGAATTAAGAGTCCTGGTTTGTTCTGGTCTGAGTCTCCCGATTCAATTCAGCTTGCTGGCTAGTCCGCTATCCACAATGCACAAGGGTAATTTTCCTGGCGAGTCTTGCTCGATCCCGCACACCCGCCTCCAAATCAGAGTTCTGTGGTCGTTCCGCACCCAACGACTTTTGCTTCTCCCTTGCTCTGTTGCTTTCTCGCTTCGTCGTTTCCCACCAAAACACACTTGACCCATTCCTGGCGTCTGTTGACCCCTTCTCCTCAAAGCAGAAAGACGGATTCTGGTTATACACTCTATGACATAGAAAAGAAAGTAAAGAGATAAAAATGCTGCGTCATGTGGGAACGATCAAGACAAACCTGTTCCCTCCCTTTTGGTTCGGTGTTTTTCTGGCGTCATCACACATTGACAGGATCACATTCATGCAATGAGGTCTCGAGCGGCGAATCGTCCACGTCCACGACCGTAGCGGCCACGGCCACCGCCAAATCTGCCTCCACGACCAGATCCGGTGTTTCCTCCAGTCGTAGAGTTCGAGCCAGCTGCACCGGTTTCAATAGAAGAAGCGGCCGACGTGGTGGTAGCTGCACCGTTTCCAGCGCCATTGCCAGCGCCGTTTCCGTTGCCGTTTCCATTTCCGTTGCCGTTGCCGTTGCCGTTTCCGCCTGCAGCAGCGGTGCTTGTCGCAGCAGCAGCAGCAGTGGTAGAGCTGGCTGCGTTGCCACCAGCGTTACCGCCAGCGTTGCCACCTGCATTACCACCTGCGTTACCACCAGCGTTACCACCAGCGTTACCACCTGCATTACCACCAGCGTTGCCACCGGCATTGCCGCCAGCGTTGCCACCTGCATTGCCGCCCGCATTGCCGTTGCCTTGGCCGACGGTGAACTTCTGGCAATCGTCTTGAGCACCTCGTTGCGCAACCTAATTCTAATTAGCTTTTGCTTCTCTATGAGAAGTGTAGTCTTCAGAACTTACCGGCATAAGGACAGGCTGGTGGTTAGATGCGCTGTTCATTGTACAGACACGGTAGAATCCAGCAGGAAGACCAGCGTCAACGGTGGCCGAAAGAAGACCTCTTCCATTGCCATCGTCATTGATACCCTTGAAGAAGGCAAAGGTTTTCGGGTCCGGGGCATTGGTGGGAGCCAGACTGTCGCCGAGATCCTGGACAGTGACGTGGCAATGGCCAACAATGTTGCCGCCTTGCAGTTCTTGAGGAGCAGCATAGTAAGTGGTGAGGGGATCGGTGAAGGAACCGGCGACCAAATTGGTCAATTGGACTTGAATATCGAAGGATTGGTTGGGGGTCAAGTCGTCTCCAGGGCCAGGGAAGATAACGATGGCCGAGACCATATTGTTGTTGGAAGGAATATCGCCCATGACCACACCGTTACACGACCCGGCGGTGTTCTGAGTTCCATTGGTCAAAGTCTTGCCTGTGCAGAAGTTGATGAAGTTGGCCGGATCACTAGAGGGAGTTAGTCACTTCAGTGGTCAAGAATGAGAATCACGCAAACACATACGTATCGGAATTGGCTTGTTGAGCATTGGGGTTGCCGATGAAGTTGCTAGCAGCTTGGACGTTGCTCGCGAGCAAGGTAAGATCATCACCACCACCGTTGCCGCCCGCATTGCCGCCAGCGTTACCACCCGCATTGCCACCAGCATTGCCGCCAGCATTGTTGTTTCCGTTATTGCCATTGTTGCCTCCTGCAGCCGCAGCAGTGGTAGAAGCCGCGGCGTTTGCGGTGGTGGTTGCCGCTCCGGCATTCCCGCCATTGTTTCCACCACGGTTTCGCTGAGCAACGGCGCCTGTCGTGAGGCCGAAAGTGGCAATTGCCAAGGTCAAAAGTTGAGATGTCTTCATTGTGTCGGTTTGGGGTTTGGTGATATCAAACAAGCCTTCCTTTGGGAATTTGGACTTGGGAGTGCGGGATCAAAAAAGATGTTTTTTTCAGAGGGATAGCAATCGAACGAGAGACTTCGCGGTCAACGCGGTCTGAACCAGAAAAAAAAGGAGTGTGCGTTGGAAGAGAAAAAAAGCTGCTTGGAACGGTCGCAATTCAATTGCTGCGAAAGGAATGTAGAGGCACTGCCACGATGGAGAGAAGTAACACATTGATGCGAAGGAAAAACCGACCTCTTATGCATTCTGCTTGGCACAGGTCTCAGGTCTCTTCGGACCGTAACGTCGTTGGGGGGCAAGATGGGTGTGTGGTCCATGGTGATTTCGTCTGAGGCTGCAAATGTTTCCAGGATGGAAGATGACACAGAAGAGGCTCTCTAGGTGTCCCCGTGCGTCAGGTCAGGGAGGGCATAGTGCCAGCCTCGAAGGTTACAGGTTGGTCGCAACATGGCGCCGCAGCGTGGTTGCGAGGGCGATCAAGCATTGCCAATGTTTTAGAAACACAATTAGCTCACCTAGAGGCGAGACAGGACGGGCAAGAAGGGAGAATGGAGAGGGGACCAAAGGTGAAGCTGAGAGGGTTTCGAGACGTGTCGGAGAATCCAGGGAAACAGGCGTGTCTGAAACGGGCGGCTGTAGCGAAGCCTGGAGTGAGGCCACCCAATTGGTAGTTTGAGGTCTTAGCAAGGTTCCACCAGATTCGGAAGCTAGCTGTATCTGGGACGATATTTCTGCTAAACCACTACCAGCCGCGTTTAGCGTGTCTTGGTGGATCACTAGAACCTCCTGCCCTTCTCCTGACAACGTCATATTGCCTCCCCGTAATCCCTCATCCAACCTCCATATTACGGATCTGGAGGTTGAATAGCAAAAACACAAACCTCCTCCTGCAATGTCCGCCTTTCTTCTAGTACCTTTAGTACCTTGGTTAAACTGTAATGAAGATCTCCACTTCATCCTCCACCCCCTCCGCTAAGAGGGTCTCGTTCTTTCCCGATTCCGCCATCTGCAACCGCCCAGACCACGTTCTTCCCAACCCTCCTAAAAATAATTCATTTGACAAGCACCATGGCTGCCATCTCTTAGCCTTTACGGAGTACCTACTCCACGATCGTGAGAAATTCCCCCCTGCCAGTCACACTGCTGGGCTTCGCACTCAAGCTTTGGTCAAGCTTTGCTTGTGCCGATTACCGAATCGCCCACTCTCCGGACTCAGCTTGAAGCGCTCCATGGTTCGAGCGCCTCAACCAGCGTTCGACCATTTTCCCCTTAGTGAGTTAACCCCGAGGGAAAAAGGCTTAGATGCGGCCGTTCTCCTCAGGGCTTACCTCGTACCTCGTAAGAGCACGGAAAACGGCCATCGAAGCGCCTTCTGTCCTCCACCCCATGATTGCGTCAAGGGCTAAAGGCTGAAGCTCTCGCTTCACCCTGCTCAGATGAAGCAAGCACGGAGTACCAGTACTCAGTCCACGTTACACAATAACTTGAGCCACGTAAAGCTTGTCAATTAACGTTGCAACGTGGGCGGAACCATCTTCGCTCCGTAGACGGATCTGGGCGACCCGCGCAAGGCATGCTGGCTCACCCTCGGCGTCGACACTATCCGACTTCAACCTCACCAGGAGAAATCTAAAACTCAGTTCTCCAGGCGCGCAGACCCCCTTCCCTCCTGTCACTAGTCGGTGCACCGTGCCATGGCTTGTGCTCGACAAAGATTAGAAACCCAGAATTTCCCCTTTCAGATGCAAATTCGCCCTGCCCGATAGAATCACATTCGCGATGCTCTTCTTCCCTTGTGCATTGGTCTTGACGTCCACCTCGACTGCGATAGTGCTCAGCCTCCCCATTTCTACTCCCTGTTGGATGCCAAATACTTTCCTCTCAGTCTTTGCCTCTCCCAGCTTCAGTTCCTCTGTTTTCTTTGCGATTTCGGAATCGTCTTTTCCGTTGCCCGCTGCCTCCTCCGCAGGTTTTTCCGACTCCGATGAAGCACCTGGGCCTGGGCTGCCCAATGCCAGATAACAAGCCAGAGCGCAACACGCACTCCCAGTCCCCGGATCCTCAATGCCGTGAGAAATCATCCTTGCTTGGATGTTGTGGATAGCTGGTTCCCCAGGCTGTTCCGACTTTGCGAGGACTCTATAATACATACATCCCACGAAACTCGGTGACCACTTAGCGTCCAGCTCCACCTCTGGCGACTTGGCTGCCTGCAAGGCGCCAAAAATCTCGGCATTGTCAGAGAGGTCAACGAGGACAAAGGACATGCCCTTGACAATCGAGACTAAAGGAAAGGTCTTGTCCCTTTCCTTGTCGATTGTCGGGACGATTTGAATATGCGGCTGTGTGGAGATAATATTGTTGATCGGAACGCGGTGGGCGTGAATGTGGAAGTTGAAGGGGACTGCGCAGGCAGCCACTTGACGGTAAGGATTGAAAAAGATGGGTATACGGCCGGCCTTCGTCAGCAGCACGGCGGTCTGCTTTTGAGTGTCTCGGTCGGCGGGGCCGCCGTAGTGCATTCTCTCGAGATAGCTGAATATCTGATGGGGTAAGATTAGCACTTCTCACACTCGGTGAAGGACCATTGTGAACGCACATAATATGCTGCTCCGATAACCTGGTAAGTTGTGTCAGTCGGATCCCATCTGAACCACCGCCACAGCTTTGCGTGCTGCGAGACTTACAGGATGACCGGCAAAGGGCAACTCTTCCCCAGTCTCCGAGAAGATCTCCAGTAGCCGGGGCTGACCGGGACCGGGAGCATCGTGCAAAAAGGCCGTCTCGGAGAATTTGAACTCCCTTGCGATCTGCGCCTTGCGTTTTTGGGAGAGCGCGTTCCCGTGCACGGAAACGACGGCCAAGGGGTTTCCCTGGAATTTCTCAGGGGAAAAGACCTAGAAAGAGGACGGTATCCCGTCAATATTCGAGGGTCTCCTAACGCTGTGACAGCAAAAGTACCGCGGAAAAAGGACTTTGCAAGATGAGAAACATTCGAATCGCGAAAGCATCAAGCGCCATTCGGTGCATGATTTGGAAATCAGGACTAGCACAGCAATATCGGGTCTGGAAGAAGGATGAGTACACGAGAAACATGGGGTGCTCGAGTTGGGAAACTCATCCCACGTCCCATCGTCCCCCTTCCCTGCCATCTTGACCGCAGCAGCAAATGAAGCGAAGTGGTCAAAAAAAAAAAAAGAGAATATTCCGCAGAGCGTGAAAATGAGACATACCACCATGGTGACAAAGGTATGAGGGCCCGACGCCATTTTCTTTCCACTCGGGTTGATGCGAGATAGTGAGATGGAGAAACCAAAAAGTTTTCAAGACGTTATATGCCTCGATCTCGTCGCCTTTTGTGCCGTTAGAAAACCTCGGTCATGATACTTTTGCGGGTGTCGTCCAGCAGCAGCACTCTTCACCGTCAAAACTGGCACTTTAGCCAAGCAGCGTTCAGTGATGACAAGGTGCGACATCAGCTTAATCAAGTGTCGGAACATGAGGTGGTCATGTCGGATTAAGGTTAGTCCGGATATGACTCGGTAAACCTTCCATAGTTCAATATCCCCTTACCCCCTTCTGCCCCTCTACCTAACCTGGCAGGTATTAAGCACAACCGATCTCAATGGATTCGTGTCATATTAGACACGGCCTATTCTCAGCAATTATAGTGAACACCCTTATACGCGCGCTGAATCTGAACATCTGGTGCTTACTCCCATTACAAGGCGTGCTTCTGTGACCAGGACCCACCAGAAATACCCTCACCTCCATCATGGACACGTTGACTTTCCCCCACTGAAGGTCACGCCAGACCCCTTTCAACACGCTCTTGCATCCAGTCATTCTTCGCGCGGACAATGACATCCCAAACGCTGCCTGAAGAGTGTTATGCTCGAGTATCCGCAGGCCTGAAATACTTTCCGAGGCATCTGGCAGGTCACACCATCAATCTCGACGGATGGGTGTGACGGGTAAGGTATGCTTGCCTTGCACTGAATACTGTTCAGCCTGGGTTTGCGAGCAGGGGTTTCAAGAGGGTGGGGGGCTCTGCGTTGGTGGCTCTGCTCGAATACAAAGTATGTGATGTGTGCTGTTCTCGATGGAGTATCGACCTGGATATCGTGCAATCTCAGCCGGCGATGCGGCCGATCCGCGGCGTTTTCTCCAACAAGGAGATCATGGAGTCCACGCTCTTCCTCATGGACCACGAAACGAGCAATGGCAAAGGCCATGCAACTTGTCCATCCCCTCTCACTTACACCTGCCTCGTGCAGGAGGCTGAGCGCTTCGTGACGCAACCTCGATTCTCGACACCGAGTTGCCACGAAGAACAAAGGGGATAAGACCCCAAGACTCGGACTCAAGACGCTCTGCTTTCTTCGAGGACCAGCAGCGTCCAGATGTATGATTTCCCGGCAACAGCTCACGATGAACTCAAAGTCGACGTGAAATGCGTCAAACCCTGCCTCGTCAGGCTGTCCAGTCGTCCAAAACATTACGTTGGCCACCCGGAGGTGAAGGCAGAGGTGGACATAATCAAACCCATCTTCTGAGAGGACATTCATGTGGTGCAGTGCCTGTAGTTTGCGATCCAGACAGTCGAATGCCAGAACAATCTTCTTTTCGAGGGATTGTGACGTTCCAGGCGTTGAGGTTGCTCGCAAAACACATTTAAGGAGCCGGTCGACCCCATCAAGAGCGCTCCTCGCATCTGAAATGTTGGATATCTGACCCACGTCATAGTCGAGATGATAGTTTTCCGGGATACCCGACCCAGGCGGGGGAAAGTCGTCCGAAAACGTGCAGGCATGGTTGATGAGCTCGTTGAGTGACGGAATAAACGTAGTAGCGAAATCGCGGGGCATGTTCCGAGAATCGACCCATGAAGATGCGTCGGAGCCAAACCTCTCTTGCAGGATACGATACGCCGCCATAATGTGCATGGTGGCTGAAGACGTCTTCTCAATCCAGAACTGCATCGCCAGAAACAACAAACAGCAGGTCAACGAGACCTCAGTCGGCAATGTTGCGGGATCGGCAGTCCGAACCAGGCGTATTGCCTTGTGCGTATGTGACATGGCCAGCGCCGAGATCTCGGGACGTGGTTGTGCTTGCATTTCAGCCGCCAATGTGATATTGTGGAAGGGAGCTTGGAGAGCACCCAGGGCAGTCAAGCCGTGTCGAACAGCAGCATGGCGAAGACCTAGTTGGGGTGCGAGGCGTGTCCAGAAGGGCATCGAGTTGAGCTGGAATGTCGCCAAAATCTTACTCCCAACTTGGACAAAGTACTCGTATCTTGTTTTGTCCAACTCGCAATCGAAGTGGAGGACGGACGGCGGTCGATACTCGAAAACGCGGGCCACAGGGACCTTGTAACCTGGACACGGTAGACCCATTCTGTTGCATCGAGCACAGTGTGGCCGCTCCTCGCTGCATTTGATTCGCCTCTGCTTGCATCGGAGACAGCCAGTCAAGACTTTGGAGTGCCATCTTCTTTTCCTCGTTCGTGGAAGGGAACACTGTTCAACCCCAGTGGCAGGGCCCCGGAGGTCGATGACAGACATGAGAGTTGGCATCTTCGCTGACACTCCCATCATTGCTGTTGGACTTCAGACCTCGGAGAGTTCCAGTTGCGTTCGAACACTTTCAGGCGAAGAGAAAATGGACCCAGCTCCAGGTGTGGATGTGTCCAAGTTGTGTATGTATAGGTGGTTATCCTGCCTCAAGTTGGAATACTTCAGGCAGCACAAGGAACCTCAACGATATATAACTAGTCATTGAAGGATTTTCGTCTTTGGCAGCGTCCGGCTTTACAAGTCCTTGTATTTGTGTCGAGCTAGTGTTAGTCCCTTTACCGCAAACCATATCACTGAACGAGGGGCTTGCGGGTAGCCCTGTCGGTTACCCAATTGTAAGCGAGATATACGAGATACATGCATCTGCAAGGCTCTTCGGTCGCAGGCTAAACTACCCCACGGGACAGTAGTGACTGGAGCACTGCTGCCACCGGTCAATGAGTGGCTTCAACCGGGTGCTTTCGCGGTGGGTGGCCTTACTTCAAAGACATCACCTTCGCCTCGCCACGCCTCCGCAGTCCGGCCGGCGAACCTTGGAGGATCTTCGATTGTCGCGGGTCTCGGTTCCATGGCGCGTGCAAAGGGAAGTCAAGCTGCTATTAACATGGACATGGGGTATTGTAGCCTTGCAGCTCAGGCCCACAGCGCGTGTACAAGGAAAGTTAACAAGGAAAGTTAACACAAGAGCTGATCATGCTGGGGCAATGAAGCGACCACTAGGACAAGGGTCGATAGGTACTGAGAAGGCCTCCAGTTTGGGCAGGAGAAGCTGAGGCACGCCGGTACGTGTTTGTTGAGCCACAACCTAACGCACAGTGCAACAAACCTGAGCGTTGGCATGCTTTGAGATGGACGAGCCCCAGGACCATGAACACCTCAGTGACGCCCGCAGGACGGGAAGCATTCGAGGCCTTTCCGAGAGCTCTGTGACACTCGATCATCTAGGATTTGCTGCTGAGAAGACAGAATCCAAAGCTCGAGCGATATTTCGTGCTGATGAACATCACCATACTCACAGCAATGGCAAAGATGGGCGTCAACGAACTGATATCTGACCATCATTGTCCACAGCCAAACGCAAAGCAACGCCAGAAGCGACATGCCCGCTAGTCTCAGCATCGAGGGAGGCAGCTGCAAGATCCAGTCGAGAGAGTCCCGGGTGTCGTAGCTCATATGGGCGTGAATGCAAGCAAGGTACCCAAAGATGACCAGAACATGTATCGTCATGGGTGGAAAGTCCGATGCTATGTTCATAGCTTCTGAGCACAAATTAGTACATGAGTATGGTCGGAAAGAAGGTAAAGCTTGCCTAGTCTTTTTGGAATGTCCTGGGTTGTCGCATCGAATTGTGATTGCTCGTCCTTGTCGTCGAACCCCAGCAAATCAATTGCATCATTGAAGTCCTCGAAGGTGCCTCTGTAATCTCTCTTTGAAGGGAAGACAGTGTTCATGAAAAAGCCCACATCCTCACAAAGTTCCTCGCGCAGAGATTGCATATATTCCTGTATTCTTAGCTGAGTGTCTCTTCACCTTCGGTAGATTGGACTTACTTCCTCATCTTCCTCACACAGATCTCTCAACTTGAAGATCAACTGTCTGGCTGAGAATCCATGGGAGTTGATACGTTCTGCATCAGCGCCGTGCAGCAGCAATTTCCTTGCAGATTCAAAGGATCGCAAGATAATGGCCATCATTAGTGGAGTCAAACCATTGATGTCCTCCCACTCCAACTCACTATTCTCACTTAATACTGTTGCGAGGATAGTTTGATCTCCGTGAAGAACAGCTGCACCCAAGAGAGCCGCTGATGCTGCCCTCCTTGAAAACCCCTCTGCCACCAAAAGTCTTGGAATATTATCTTCGACTGGAAAAGGGCCATACAATCCGATGATGTAGTAGGGTGTGTATCTCATTGCTAATCCACCGGGCATCCGCGCTGTAGGTATCCTTGGGGTGCTAGTCAGGTAGTGCGACAGCGGGTAACTGGCTCGTGAGGTGGCTGGGACCATCAGGTAGGGCATTAAAGGCGTCAAACACGAAGCAAGCGACGGCGAAGCATCTGGTAAGAGCATCTCCGCCATGTCAGATCGTTATTTGATTTGGTCACCGGACGTGTTGAAATAGCAAGTCACCCTGTAATTCCGTGTTATTACATTCCATAGGTGGTCTTGAACGGTAGTGTCAGCACCGGCCTGGATCAAACGTCTGAAGACAGGACTGTTCCCGAAGGCGGCAGATATCTCAAGATACCGCTGAAGGAATCTGCCACCCTCGTGCTTGGGGTTAAGTTCAGGGAGCTCGCCTGGATACCATAGGAGGGCGTCAAGTACTGCGGCAGGTCCTCCCGCACACAGAGTTGATAAATAGAGGTCTCTCTCTTCGGCATCAGCCTCGCGCATATCTTTCAACTGCGTTTGTAGACAGATGTCTGGTCCACTTTTCTTGCGGCTGTTGCCATTAGGTTGACCGCATAGTTCTTGTTGTTCGCAAACCAACTTAGATCGAAACCCTGGTTCCGACCGGGCAATGGTTCGAAGAAGCCAGGAGTTTGCCGGGGTCATGTCATAGTATTCTAGCAGACCAACGTGCCGGCGTACAAATTCGTGGGCAAAGGCTCTTGGGCCGGTAGCGTAGAGGATCAGAAGAATCGAGTGTCGTTGGTATGGCGTCGCATTCAAGACATCTGAAAGGTCGACTCCCCGGTCTATGACTGAGTCGATGGCATCTTTCTTCTCGTACGCCTGGTTTTCCATAAGGACTGCAAGCATTCTTGATAGTGTTAGCGTCACCCCGAGGTGCCTAATCGTCGACCTACTGTTCAGCCTCGTCACTGTCCTGGCTGTTAGAAGCCATCTGATCAAGCATCAAGAGACACATGCTAGACCATGAGCAGTCTCTATGATATGTTCCAGTGATTTTGTAGTTGCTCCGATGGAGAAATATCTGCCTCGAGTCAGGATCGCGGTTCTAGAACCCGTCAACGACACTTACCTCTAGTACCGATCTTGGCTGCTGGAAATATGAGAAGCCTCTGTCGTCCACTTGGCGAGGTGGTATAAGGTCGAAGGGATGGGCCAGCCCCTGCGCGAACAATTTCTGTAGACCCTGCACATCGCAGGATGACAGGCAATCGACAATTCTAAGGTCCAAATTAAGGTGAGACCTCTGAAACTGTAGAGGTGCCGCAAGCGTCATTGAGACGGTGATACACATATCTGATAACCACCTCGGAGGAATATAGGTGAACGCAACGTATGTGTGGTCTTCCGATTCGTCCCTCGTCCACGTCAAGGGCTCTTGCGGGCTTGAGTCGCAAGTCACGTCGACCATCAAAGATCCAAACCAGTACTGACGGACGAGACTCATTTCTGTTGCGGCTAATAGGATTCTGGCCGATCGGGGAAGTCGAAGCCAAAGTCTTCGAGCCTGATTGCTACCTTGGTTTAGGTTAAATCCTTGAAATGGGTGGTTGTTACGAGCCGGGATTTGCTTCAACCGAGTAGAGATAAGGTGTAGCCGACTTTGTATTCCACTGAGCTGTACGGCTTGCTGCAAGAGATAGCTTTCGGTCCTAGACGTGGATAAACGAATGCCTTGGAGGTCCTGGTGGTGCGTCGCATAGTTAGATATCACATTATGTGAGATGCTGTCAAGCGCCTGGCTTTGGTTTCGGAGTCGCCGCCTGTTCAAAGTATGGAATCAGTGTGATTTCGCAGGGTGTCCTTCCAAGAGACATACTCAGCTACCATAGAGAGCACCACATCGAACCTGCTTATGTTTCCTTGTAGACGTGTTTGCAGCTCCTGGATCTCCGGCAAATGTAAGATCTGTTGGATTCGAGCTCGTACAGATTTCTTCGTAATCGTCGTCTCTTGGAACGTGGTCCGTATCTTTTCCACATGCTCTTTCAACCGTGCATAGTCTGCGGCCATCTGTGTATTGTTTTCCTCCCAAAATTGTCGTAGCTCAGCGGGGAGCTCCTCCGGCGTAAACAAGCTGATGCGATCTCGAAGTTCAAGCAGAATCGACTCGTGCTGCCGAAGCACGGACAAGAGCCGCTTGAGCTCTTCAGGGGCATGAATCAGTCGGCGACGAAGCTCGGATAGGGTCTGGACGGAATCGACCACCAGGCCAGCAAATGTTGTGAGGCTGGCAGCGAAGCCGATAAACGCAACAGACGCCGAAGCAGGATCCATGGTGCCGAAGATCACAGTAAGGTTTCGACAGCAGCAAGATCAGACGAATGTGTGTGGGTGTGTGTGTGGGTGCAGAAACATGGAAATGCAGTCAAAGTGAGGGCAGAAGATAGAGAATAAATACTGAAGAAATGTTGTAGGCGCAGGTGCGGCTATGCTGGGCAAGGCGCATTCGACTGTATCTGTTCAGGGGCGTCTGGACGAATCAGAGTATAGACACCTAGGCACCTACACACGACATGGACTGATATTGTCGTTCTTGTTCGTCTGTTAACAAATCGCAAGTCCACAACTGCCGGATTTCATTGACCCCTCTGCTGCGACGAACCGGTGATGAAGTCTTCAGACCTTTCAAAGTTGAGTAAACCTTCTTCATTTTTGGAATCATCTGAATAGATGTATGGTACAGTAGAAGTTGAGCTAATTGAAACATGTCGATTGCTCACTTTCGACGCTTCATAACCTTTATACACATCTCTTCTAGGCCGTCCTTGGCCTCGCCGGGTGGAAATGCGCTGATTGAGGAGACAGCCTTGTCTGCATATTCCTGAGCCAGGGCGCGAGTCTGCTCGAGACCGTCACTCTGCGATACGATGTCCCTAGCCTGTCAATTATAGTCAGCTTCAGATTGCAATGACATGAAGAATGCAAATGGAATTCACCTTCTGGACATCACCCTCCTTTGAAAACTTCCTGCCCACCAATATCCCTAACTCGGGCCTGTTCCTCCATGCGAACAGCAACGGCGCGGTCGCCAATCCTAGCTCCAAGTCTGCACCGGCCGGTTTCCCCAATTCGGTCCCAGATATGGTGTAATCCAACATGTCGTCCACAAGCTGAAACGCCAGGCCCAGATTCTTCCCATATTGATATGCAGCTTCGACCACATTGGGGGCGCACTGTCCGAGTAACGCGGCCGCACGACAGCTTTTGCTGATCAGACTCGCGGATTTCAGGTATGTTTTCTGTAAATAGTATGAAATGGTCTGCTCGCTCCAGCTGGGATTCTTCTCATCACTCGCAGTGTTCTTCAGTTGCATGAATTCGCCTTCCACAAGATTCGCAATGACTGTTGCAAGCAGCTCTGTCACTTCGGGGTCACGTAACCGAGCGAGAGCCACGGATGCGCGCCCGAGCATGAAATCCCCTGCCAACACAGCCATCTTGTTCCCGAAGGTGGTGTTTGCGGAAGGTGCTGAGCGGCGTGTGGTGGAGTGGTCTATCACATCATCGTGGAGAAGGGAAGCTGTATGGATGAGTTCCGTAATCTCCGCCAGTCGTCGCTGCGAAGGCAGAATGGATGTATCGTTAGGAAAGGCATATTCCGTCTCGTTCGAGGCATTCGTCAATGGTGACACGGCAGAGGAATAGTTCAGGAGGTCTTTGTCCGGATTCTTGTCCAGCAGCACAGACGGACTTGTAATCGGTGTGTCAATAGCACTTCTGGATAAAGTATGCTGCACATCATATCTTGGCCGCGGCTGCTTCGCAGCAAAAGCAGTCGCCCTCGACATCAGCAGCACCAGTAGCGGCCTGACATGCTTCCCTTCGCTCTGCGTATAGTATTTGGCAACCGTGTCTAGTATCGGGTGTCCCGAACCAAGCAACTGCCGGATGTTCTTGTTGAGGAATTTCAACTCTTTCGCGACAATCTTGAGGGGATCAATCGTGATATTGCTGGTCGGTTGTCTGGCGGAGGAGGGGAGGACCTCGGCGACCGTGCTTTGGATCTTTTGAACTGCTGCGGCCCATGATGGCCGAGGCGAGGAGCTCGAGAAATGACGTCTCGTTTGCGACTGGGCAATTGGCGAAGCTGACTTTGGATAGTGTGATCTCGTCCGACACCACGGGCACACTGACGGATGTGAATTCAATCGTGAAGAAGCTGTGATGGGGGTCGTGGCCACTGGCTGCCAAACGACTGTCGACTTCGGAGAAATACGCCCGCGTCCCCCCATGGTTGCGAATGGCATTAATTAAAGCTAGTAAGAGACATCCATGAAGCTGAAGAATCCAGGGACAGCCAAAGGGAATTGTACAAGAAAAGAGCGGCGGGTGTGATGGGGAGCTTCTCAGGTCGAGGGAAACCAATGGAGAAGTTCGGGATGCAGCGCGATTGACTTTTTTTGAGTTTATGGGATTTGCCAGGGTCGCGCATTATGTAAGCTCCGACCACATGTCACCCACCCACCACCTTGTCACTCAACAGCTATGATCGACTTCTCAACTCCTCCAAAGCCTCATTGTGAGTGACCAGGAGAATCTGTCAGCTTCGGTCGATCCGAAAACGTCAAGGAGACAGATAACGCGGTGTACCTCGATCGACGCGAGATCTCCCTAGACCTACTCCGATTTTCTCCTAAAAGGGTGAGCCTGATTGCATCGAACACACTCGTCTACAGGTATATATGCCTCAGGACGGAAGCTTTGATTTCCGGGTATGCAATGAGGATTTCGGATAGATTAGTATTCCGATATCAGGTCACTTTACCTAGGTCAACCGGCGCGGAGTGTCAGGTCATTTGTCCAAAGCCCATCATGGGCCTTCCAACAAATCTTACAATTCGTATAGTCCGAGCCAAGGCTCGGGCCTCTCATCGCCCATGTATACAGCACCTGTTGAAGGAGGGTATTCCGTTAAGAAGAGTTGAGGACGCAGGCCACGGGAGGGTCGTCTATCTTGGTCCTGCAAGGCTGGAGACATGCGTCCCAGGGCATGTCCTCCCTCAGCCTAATCTCCTAGGATTCATTCCGTGATGAACCGCAACAACATCCCCAGATGCGCACGGCTGCCTCTCAAGATCAATATCACCCCCCAGACGCCGATGATGTGGTTTGGAATAAGATGGATTTCCTCACTTGAGACCATTCTTCTCTGCCCATTTGCGCCAGACCTGCCACTCGGAATACGATGCACTCGCTTTCAGCCCAGTATACCTGATCGCCTTGAAGTCCTGGACTTCCTCCCAAGGGTGTGGCGGCCGAGATTGTTGCTGGTCGCTTGCGGTCCCTCTAATCGACCCTCGCAAAAGTCTCCTCGCAACACCGTGACCCGCGGATCCTCCATCCCACCCTGCCTTCTTCATCAGACTCTCTACCGTCTCCTCTTTCGTCCACCCTTGCTCGACCGCCACATCTGGTAGATATGTTGCGCCGTGCCGCCTATTTCGGTAGTTGAAGCTAATGCGTAAGCCGTGGAGGCCTAGAGTCCAGTCCATGGCATCCCGACAGGGCTCGAAGTCTGCGAGTAATGTCAGAGAGCAAGAGAGTGAGGGAAGCAATGCGGCCGGGATGGGCGAGAATCGCGTATCATCAAAAGCCGATGTCAGTGCGTAGGTGCTGAGGCCCGATGCGAGTGGGAGGGCCTCGAAGGTTCCTATGCATCCTCTGAGAGCTTTGTTGCCGGAGCGGCCTACTGTGTTCCAGGTGACAAAGAGTGGATACGATTCGGTAGCCGAGAGTTGTGATGCGTACGAAGGGCGAGAATGAGAGCTCGAAGAAGTCGTACTGGAAGGAGTGGTAAGCTGGGAATTGGATGAGCTGGCAGAGAACAGAGAAGGAGAGGACGTTGAAGACGACCGCGACGACGAGCTTGAGGCCTGCAATCGAGAGATGCTGGGGAGTTGAGGCCCGGCCTTGTTGCTATTGTGTCGGCGATCAAAGCGTTGGATCTCTTCTTCCCGAGCGTCGTCCTCCTCCTGGTCGTCTTCTTCTATATCTTCATCATCCTCCTCGTTGCCGACCTGATCTTCTTCAGAGTCCGTCACCTTCACAGGATTCTTGCCATTTCCCAACTCTTCCTCTTCCGTCAATGCCCCACTGGACTGATTGTCCTTTATGTAATTCTCATATAGCTCGAGCACCTTCGGTAAACTTGGAGGATCTCGACGTTCAAAGCTGGCGGACAGCACTTCGAAGCAATAGAAGCAGTGCGCTGGACTAGCCATAGATTGCAATCGACGTAGATTGAGGACTTCGCCAGGATTGTGGAAATGCAGACAGGTGGCTCAGACAGTGGGGAGAGAAGGAGGGAGATACGGAAACGCGGTTCACGTCGACCCCTTAAGTCTGAAACGGACGGTTCACAAGCCAAAGGAACAGAATGAGAGACCGAAAGAGGAGTTCAGATATAGGCTCGTGGGAGACGAAAGGAAACAGGCAGAAGAGAGGCACCGAAAGCGAGCGTCGGAGGTAAGGGAAAGGAAAGGCTGGTACTATAGATACGGTGATGGTGTTGGCGGAGCAAAGAACACAGGCAAGGCAGGTCAAGTTGAGGGTTGACTCTGAACCGCATCACCCGAAGCGGGTCCACGTTATCGATGACCATGATGAGGCGGAGATCCCCAGGAATCACAAACACAGCGTCAGCCACAAAGTCCACCAAGTGCCCCCACTACAGACGGGTGCGGCCACCAGTTTCCTCCTCCAACACTCTTTGTTTTGTTGAGCGTATCTGTTACATACCGAGTAGCTTCATTTCCAAGCGTCCACGTAGCCTACGCTGATGCCCAAGCCTGCATCACTCTGTCCCACTGAGTTGCCAACGTCAGATCCGGCTCCAGCACCAGCGACAAACCCAGGCAGAGGACTCCTTGTTGTACTTCTCTCAAGGCTTCTCCCCGTGATTGACGAGCTGTCTCCTTCGTCGTCGCTTTCATTGTCTTGTGGTACCAGCCTGACAGATCCGCCCCCTTTCCCTCTTCTCTCGCTGGCCCGCATCTCGTCCTCTGCTTTCCTCTTCTCCCATTCTGCAACCAAATTCCGGTAGTAGACCTCTGCCTGCACTGTGATACTGTAGTACTCGGGAGTCCAACCAGCCTTATTCTTACTTAACGGGTCTGCGCCCGCTTGGATCAAAGCGCGAATGGCCTTGAGATTCCCCCATGCACTTGCGTTGTGAAGACATGTATTTCCCAGGTCGTCCTTCGCGTTCACATTCGCACCGTGTACAAGGAGGATCTCTATCGTTCTGTTGTCTTCCGGGGTCGGTCTTGACGGGCCGTTGGTTGCAAAGGTGCTGAGATTCGGCTTAGGGATAATCTGGGAGGATGCTGCGAGATGGAGAGGTGTTTGGCCCTTGCGGTCTCTGCGATTGACAGTCTGTGGGAACTGCCTGCACAGGAGTTCAGCAACTCCGGCCTGAGAATTGGCCGCGGCTAGGTGCAGAGGTGTTTGGCCGTCTGTGTTGACGGAGATGCCCCGATTGTCGTGCTGGGCACTGTAGATCCAATCTTCGACGGGGCGAGTGCCATCATGACCGAGAGATATCAGAAACGCCTGTGTTGCGGTTCAGCGGTCAGAAAAGGTGGCTCCTGCCGCAACGTGTACTCACCGCAATCTCTTCCAGTCCATATTTCGCAGCAAGATGCAACGACGTGTTGCTCTTGTCTTCAAAGTCCGGATTTTGGAGGTATGAGAGATTGTGCTTCAGGATTCGCTGCACTAAGGCGAGATCATTGAGTAGAATGGCTTGCCGCAGGGACAGGTCAACGCGGGTCATGGTCGAGCGTCAGTTTCCTTGCCAGCGAGACTGAGCGCAGCATGGCCATGTGCTCGGACACAAACAAACTTGCTGTATTAGAGGTCCACGACAAACAGATGGTTTTGCGACTGAAAGGTCGGGTAGGGACAGCTATTGAAAGTTGCACCGCGGGGGTGCAACGTTTACAGCATGCGGCACCGGCGGGATGTTTGCGTGTTTGCCCGCAGTGCCCCTGGACACTAAAGCATTTACAGAGCACAGGGCTTCTCCACACGAGGCTGAAAGCAAAGGTATGTTGTCAAGTAGTACTTGTAGCTCAAGCATTTTTTTAACGAGCCCTCTATACTTTGATGTTGGCCATTCCCAGACAACACGACTCCCCCAAAAGTCTTGCAGAGACCGATTTTGGCGAAGTTCCCAGATCAAGGGACGCCTGCGACATTAACAACAACCCCTTCCATCATGCAGCCTTCTTGCCCTTCTGTGCCTCTCGCTCTGCCTTCTTCAAAGCTCTTCTCCGAATATCCACATGCATCTTCCTGTTGATTCCAAGTAAAATGCTGCTCATCGGACCAAGCACGCCCGTGATCAGCGCTGCAACCAGGGCGTGGCTCCAGTACGGAGTTCCACTGTACGGGTAGCCTATGCTCCCACCTCTCCGACCGATCTTCGCCAATGTGGATCTGACAAACGCCTTTTCTGTAGGGACTTGCCAGTTCGCTCGGCGGATCTTAGACATTGACGACGTGACCAAGTACGAATGGACAAAGAATACGTCAATGCCACTTGGAGCCAGCTCGGAGGCCAGCGCGTTGGACCATTGTTGAAGGAATGCTTTTGAACCAGAGTATGTTGCCAACAGTGGTGTGGGCGTCAAGCCGCCGAAGGATCCCATTGTCAATATCAGCCCTTTCTTTTGTGGTAGCATGCTCGGGAGTACCGTCTGGGTAGCCCGCAGTGTGCCCAGGCAGTTGATATTGATGATGTTTGTCATTTCGGGCAAGGGCGTTTCCGCAAAAGTCACAGGAATACTGTGACTCTGGCCCACGTTATTGATGAGGATGGCAACGCGTTTGCCTTGTAGCAGCGACGCCAACGATGCATAGTCTTTATCCAAGTTTTGCGAGAAATCCATGGCGAGAGTTTCCACCGAGACGTCTGGAGAAGAGGTCTTTATCTGGGCCGAGAGGGACTCGAGTTTCGACGCAGTTCGGGAGACAAGGACGAGATTGAAGCCTCTCTTTGCCAGCTGTAGGGCGTACTCCTTTCCAATGCCATCGGATGCGCCGGTTACGACTGCCCATGAGCCTTTCCCGCCGAACGAGGATAGCTTTTGAACGAAAGATGTTAGCCACAGGTCCTGTACACTCTCTTGCAGACTTACAGATTTTCCTGGCAGAATGAAAGTACTCAGAAACACGCGTGTCGCGGTGAAGGCGACCGAGGCGAGCGTGAGGACCCCAATGCCAATGAGCAGAGTTGAGGGGAGACTCTGCTGGCCGAGGGGCCCCAGATCGATTGTCATTGCCATGCTTGGAATCAAAGCAGACGATTAGACCGGTAGTGACAGACAGGTTGGACAGATAATGAGACTGTCCAAAATCATTGTACGGAGCATGCGGACAGGACCAGTTGGAATTATTTTACCCGGCGTGCCAACAAGGATCGCTAAGGGTCTGCGCGGCTTCAACCCAAACCGGAAACGGGTCATCTTCATCTGCATCAACAAAAAGGTTGAGGAACTTCAGACTCCAGCGCCTCACACCTCCACTCACCTTCAAGACTCTATCCTTTCTTGGAGCCCTCCGTGGTCCCGAGTGTCCATCCAGTGCAGCGTTCTGTCTCCAAGATGGCGTCCCTGCTTCCTCAAGCAGAGGGATACCTCCCCCTCTACATTTTGTTTGTGCGTTGAACTGCGCCAGCAAAACTTACATTGCTCTCCACTAACCTCAAACTCTAGGTGGGCGTAACTGCGATTGGAAACGCCATTCAGTGCTACAATACCCTCTCCTACACGCGACGTCTCTACCCAGGCCAAGCTTCAGCAGCTCAAACCAAGGGCAAATCCTCCCCAGAGGGGAGCTCCCCAGCTACGCCTCTCTCCTCGAGGACATTTGGGACGTGGACACTTGCAGTTGGGATCGTCAGAGTATTTGCGGCCTATCACATCAACGAGGCGTCGTGGTTTCAGATGCAGATGTTGACCAATGTCATTGGGCTTGCGCACTTCAGCCTGGAGGCATTTGTGTATAAGACCACTTCGCCATCAGGGCCGTGGCTTGCTCCAGTCACCGTTGCGCTGATCGGTTTGGTTTGGAGCACAGTTCAATATGGCTTCTATGTCAGATAAAGAGATTCTTCAAGATATCACCACTTGGTATTATGAGCTGGGTTCAGTCGTGGGCTTGTCGGACGCTGGCGGGTTCTCAACCACTTCTCCTTCGTTACCGCCGAGTTTCTTCCTGTACAATTCTCCTCCGCAATTCTGCAGCCTGACTGTGGCTTGCTCCGGTGTAATATCTCTCTGTGGCTCTCCCAGCATTTCATACCCGACGAGGAATTTTCTGACTGTCGCGCTCCTCAGAAGCGGAGGATAGAAATGCAAGTGAAGACTGGAGCACTCAATCTCCTCTTCGTTGCCGTCCAGCGGCGCTTGGTGGATGCCCATGCTGTAAGGAAAGCTCGTCTCGAAGAGGTTGTCATACCGTCGAGTGATCTCTGCTATAGCCCCGGCCAAGTCCATCTGTTCCTTCTCGCTCAAGTCGATCAGAGAGCGAATGTGTTTGACCGGTAATATCATGGTTTCAAAAGGCCAGGTGGCCCACCACGGGCAGACAACAAGGAAAGTCTCATTCTGGAAGACAACTCGCTCGTTCTTTTCTCGTTCGAGACGGGCGTAGTCAACCAACATGTGCCCACCGCCCTGTTGGCGGTTGTATTTTCTCAGTTGTTCCAATTCAATCGCGGCTTCTTCAGGCAGAGATGTGGTCGTCCAGATCTGGCCATGCGGATGAGGGTTGGAGCAGCCCATGGCGCTGCCTTTGTTCTCGAATATTTGCATCCACCGATACTGGTCCCTGGGTCGTCCAACGTCTGCATGGGGGTTAGATGGTGGTAAATGAGTCGGTTTGGCCTGCGCGACCAGCGGTGACTTAGGGGAGATATGCGCCGTATAGATTTCAGTCCATGTCTTCACAATTGGAAGAATCTCATCGGGGGACATGTCCGCCAGTGTGACATTGTGCGCGGCACTGAAGGTCAAGACATAGCATTTGCCCTTTACTGGCTCGGCCTGTAGCAGAAGGCTGGACAGGCTCCCCGGTTCGTCTGGAGACTTGTAATCTTCTTGCAGCTCTTTGACGGCACTGTAGTCGTTCACAAATACGAACGTGTTCTCGTACTTGGGGTTGACATCTCCCGAAGCCCTCGTGTTCCCCGGGCACAAGTAGCATTTAGGGTCGTATACCGGGAGGTCAATGACCCCAGGACTCTCCTGCTGGCCTTGCCACGGTCTCTTGGTGCGGTGAGGGGAAACCAGGATCCAGCTGCCACGCAGGGGATTATGTCGGCGGTGCGAGATGTCGTCCAGGACCTTGTCAGGCATTGTGACACTGACACTCGTGTTGTGGCAGTGGGGGGTTTATTGCCAATGAAGATTGTCCTGCGAACTTTCTCAATGTCTGGAAAATGTGGACCTCATTCAGTGGGCCAATGCAACATGGCACTCATGGCCAGTACATCGCCATAATATGGGAGACCCGGTGTATCTCCGCCTCAAGGCAATCCGCTAGGAATACCATCATGGCATGCATCTGATTGCTATTAGTTACAGTTCCTGCAAAGAATGTTTGCGGAAAAGCCCCTCGTTGCGGGCGCAGCTTGATTACGTCAATGGGCTTATCGGCCACGCCCGGCAAAAAGCGTATCGGACATTCTTGGTTCTTGTCGCGATCAATGAGTTTCCGATCTCGGGGTCGATTCATACATCTCCTGACCACAATATTACTATACATTTTCCAGGAGCAAACCTACTCTTCTGATGAAGAATTGAATCGACGCTTTTGCCGTGATCTCTCTGTCTTTGTCGCTTGTGGTCTGCTGGATGTAGTCGGCCAACCCGGTCTTTGATCGATACCCTTTTGTTGGTAAAGCCAACGTCAATGGGCGGAGTCGTGCCCGTCTGGTGAGATGATGGCTCGCAACCCTCGATGCCTCTACGATCTTCCCAATGAGGTATGCTTGATACGCCGGCCCAAGGGCGGGCCTTTCTCGTGCTGAATTCACAGATACTGGTGTCCATCCTCTCGGGGTTTTCGACTCAAGACCTCCTGCCGCTGGTCGTGGTCTCGCGACGGTTCCATTCCCTCATCCTCAGGATCCTACATTTCCGACTTCTCCTCGCTGCGGCTTTGCCGGATTACAAGTTGATCCTGGAAGCGTATCATCCAAGCAAGCGATACAGCGACCCTTATCTGTTTTGTACCTACCTTGGTACCGATGGGCTCAGTTCCAAACACGAAGGCAAGGGGAGCCTCTATGAAGACTGTGACGGAGAAGAAGGAAGACTCGCGAAACTAGGTGGACTCTACAGCCGCTTCAGACCCGAGCGGCCTGGAGTGTCGGGTTCCATGCCCGCACGACGGGTTGCGGGCGCCGTGTTGAATACCGCGTCATCTTCAACAAGTGGAACAATGCCCATCTATGCCGATGGAGGCGATGGAGGTTTCACCAAAGTCATGCACACCCTGAATCTCGATGCGGACGAGTTGTTCGGCCAGTTTTGCGCCTATGCTAGCCTCGTGAGGCTTGGACCCCGTAGAGGGGTCTTTCTCAGCAATGTTCATATTGTGCGATCGGGCCAAGGCGTCATGCGGGTGTGGAAACAATGGCTCCAGGATCGCGCCCAAGACCTATGGCAACAAGAGCAAGAGTTGGACGGTTTTAAGATGAGTCCAACACCAACCACGAGCTGCCCTTCGATAGGAGCGGACAAAAACATCATGTGGACCGACTACAGAAAGAACGTCGGTCTGCGGGTCGCAGTGCGTGATCGCAATGAAATACTTTATGGAAATCGTCATGCCATCGACCTGGACGACATGCCCATGACCTTTACGATCGAGATCCAAGGTGAGTTCTCGCTTCCCCTTCTTCTCGGTCCGGTTTCACCACCGCCAACTGTTTCCGCGCAGAGCTGGTTGTGCGTACAACGCATTTAATGCTGGCCGTGGAGACATCCACCCAGCAACAAGGCAATATATCAGGTAAAGCCCTTATATTCGGGAACTTCGCCACCGCAGCCCCTTCACAGTCGTGATAGAGCTGGTCTATTTCAGGGGGAAACATCTTTTTTTGGATTTGATTTGAGCCTTGACCCTCCCCAATTAGTGGCTCTCGTACTACTACGACATCCTTCCTCCAACCTCCAACCTCTATGTTTCCAACAATCAAGCCACCAATTTCCCATCTCTTGTCTGCCACTGGATTCTCTCCCTCCAGGGCAGCAGAACACTCTGGGCCGGGGCGACTGACTGTGCCGTAGGGACATCCACGGTCCCCTGGGCGTTCCTGGGATGGGTAGCCCGGAATGGTTAGAAGTGAATTTTGGACATAGAAATGGGTACCCAAAGCTGGAATTTGGACTTCTCTGTAACAATTTGTACTGCGCAGACACACTTGACTTGGCTCTATTCTATACTTCTGCGGAGGGGAGACATCTCGATTTCATCGGCTTATTCATGCTGCATCAGAGGGCCACCGGGGCCATGATTTGCGTGCTCGTAAACGCGTCAACCAAGCACCAAGGAGGTTGGTGCTGTTCTGGTCTGGTCCGGTCTGGTCTAGGCGAACCTGCGATCCCCTTTTTGAATGCATTGGCGGCTCCTTCGTGATCGCCGCTGACTTTGCCGGGGTGTCCTTGTCTCTTTGATTGTATAGTTGGTTATATTTTCCTCGTCCCTTCAGTTCTCGTCACTAAGTCACCTCTCTGCCCATCTCTTCAAATACTTGGGACTCTTCTGGCTCCGAGAATCGTCGCAAGCCGGGATCGTCTCTTCTTGACCAGTTGCTGTTTCGGCTAACCACGAGCCCTGCAGCAAGCGACCTGCAAGCCACAGGCTCGTGGCCCACTCTACCCGTGTTCAGAGCTGTCCAACTCGAAGGACGAGCAGCTCTTGTCTCTCTCCGCGAGCTCGTCCGGGCTCATGATATTGGTGGATAAGGATTGATGGCTTGCATTCACGGCCTACGTGGCCTCTGCATCACCACAACAATAAGAGCCATGACCCTCACCGGTTGGAGTTGGACGTCGTCGACCTGAGGCTCTTCGGTTTGGAGGGACAAATTGAAGGACCAGACGAATACCCCGCTCCAGCTCTGTCGAGGTCTCGACGCTCCCCCATGGCTGTCGATTGGCAAGTTGCAAACCCGAGCCAGCTACCTCCCACCAGCTCTTCCCCCCTCCCGATATTTCAACAGCGATCGATCCCCGCGAGCCAGGTCTTTATCTCTTCTTTTCGCCACTGATGATCGCTCCGTCTGAAAGCTTTCTTGCATGAAATCCTTCCGCTTGGCCCCTAGAATCAAGATCCTGTGCTCCCCCACAAGGCAGCTGTTGCCCCATCTCAGTGACAATGCCTCAATATAGCACTTTTGCCATTCCGACAGAAGGGATATCGCGAGAGGTAGTCGAGTGCGATCTGCCCTTATACCTTGGCCGGGATGCCAAGGTAATGGAGAATAATGTACACAACTTGAGGCCGGTTCACAGCACAGCCTCGAGTAGCGAGCTGACTCTGCCACAGAAAGGCGATCGATATGTCATTCAGTCATTTGCGGAACCCCCGAGGGTAAGTATTGCCAAGGTCATGTGCAGTCGCAACCACTCAAGCCTATGCTGCAGCACATGATCAAAGCTCTGCGCGATGATACAGCAAGGTGGTATAGAAGCGATGAACACAAGAGACGATTGCGTGAGTATTCCTTTACTTCTCAGTTGAATGGTACTCACGAAAACCAGGGTACTCGGAGAGTCGAATCCATCAGGATCGGAAACGGGCTTCCCAGGGACAGGCCATTCCTCAATCACAACTGGCGAGGCACAACTCCCGCGACAATCCCTCAGGGAATGTTGCTACAGGCGTGTCCCCGATTCCAGTGCCGTCGAGACCCTCTCTGGTACAACGGTATAGCTCAAGCAATGGTTCGGTCTTTGGGTCGTCCCAAGTCTCGCCTGGGTCCAACTTTGACAGTGGTTCTCGGTGCCAATCGAGGCGTGAATCAGACGCAATGTCTTCACTGGATGGCGGTATGATCAGTCGGACAATGTCGGCGTCGAGCGCTGCTAGCAGCTATGGGACGAATGGCACGTATGGCTTCAGCCAAGATCCGCCTGGAGGCCGAAACAGTGAATGTAAGCCTTGGAGCTACCCGAGCAGTGGTTGAACGCAGGTTTGGAGGCCCGTCTAGTTTCTAGCAGACGTTTCGAAATTGAGTGTTCCTGTTCAGCAAGAGTGTTGGACCGTGATGCTAACTGAACGCAAACACATAAGACAATTTTACCAGTGGCGACCGAGGCCCCCCTGCGTATCTTGACCGGCTTTGAGGCAGCGTACGGTGAAAGGGTGTACAAGGGTCGATCCCTTGCTTGAGAGAAATGTTGGCAATTCAGTCGTATGTATAGCCTCTTTCTCAATGCACCCCTGATGGTGACTGATGTTGCTCACACCAGTCGGATAGTGTGTCTGCCTCAAGTATCCTGCCTTGTGCTTTGAGGATATCTCTGAGGAGTTGGAACGAGTGAGTCGACTTTGGGTTGGACTCGCCTAGAATGCGGTGTCTGTTCCGCACGACTTCTCGCAGGAGCTGCTCGCCAAGTTGCAGATGGTCGCTCCTCCGCGCGCCCGTTTCCTTTTTGGCCAACTGGAAGAGGAAGAATGCGTGTCGGTGCTTCGCCTCCCAACTATACGCATGCTGCTCGGGAAAATTCTTCCGCACTCGGGGCAAGACAGATTGGACAATGATAGCTTCGGCCCCTTCTGCATCTCCGCAATAGAAGGTGGCCCTGGCTAGGGTGGCAGCGGCCATGATGGTCTCAATGCGGTCGTCTCCGAACTGCTCCCACTGATGGGTGAGGTCAAGCAGCTCTCTTCGAGCAGGTTCAAAGTTCTCGGGTGCCCTCACTTCCCTTTTCAACTCATTCTCCAGCATTGCCCAGGCCAAGTTATACCTGGCGGTCAGGGCAGGCGCGGATGATTCGGAGAAGGCAATTTGCATTTGAGTCACAATGTCCGAGAGGCGAGCAATATCATGCGGCGGGCAACCCGCACCACTACGCTGGAGCATGTTCTTCTTGAACTCGATGGTCATAGTCAATGGGTTGTCGAGTCCGCAGTGTTTCTTGGTCAACTCGTCACATTTGGTCAGCAGCTCCGAGAGCCTGTCCCACTGGCCGTAACAGTCAAACAGCACCGATACAATGCTCAACGCGCCCAAGCATTCTCCTGCAGGGAAGCTCTCATTCGTTAGCATGCACAAGAAATTGAACCGGGCATTCGTCAAATAGTACTCGGCCCTCGACTGGATCCTGGCATCATTTTGGCCGGCGCAAATCAACCAGTACAGACAGTACATGACAAAATCGGCCGACAGACTTTTGTCGTTGAGCTGGCGGCTTCGGGTATTGTTGCCAAACCGGTAGATGTCCAGGTCCAGGTCGCTAATCTCTTCAACGACAGCGGGGGTCGCAGACAGCACAGCATGGGTGAAGTCAGACGGCCATTGTTTGCTCGGGTCATTGTTGTCCCATAGCTGGCACCAGCCAGAGGGGAGCGGCTCTCGCTGAGCACGCCAGAATGGGCCCAAGATGTTTGGGATAGCTGGCTGACTGCGGGACAAGAGTGCCTGCTGCTGAACCGGGGTATTATCACCATGGATGATGCTCCAATCGACATGCAATCTTTCGGCAGCGTCTACGGGACCTGGTAGAGTCGTGGCACGATTCAGCTCATGGGCGAATTCACCCGAGTTTCGAGGGCTGGACTCTGGTGACGGGATGGGGACCTTCATTGGGGAGATAGTCCTGAAGGAGGCGTGAGACTCCAGGGAGCCAAATGAGCTGGCAGATGGGGGCGTTGGCGGTAGGTGGGAGGGAGGTGGCTGCTGAGGCTCAACCGGAAGTGTCTGCAGGTATATATAATCAGGTATCTTGTCGGTCTGGGTGATGCAGGACAGGAGGTCGGCTTCATCGACCAGCTTTTCATTTCTCTGGATGTATTTGGTGATGTCCTCTCGCCGCCTCGGGTGCCCGGAGAAGATGACAACCTCGTCGCGGCCTTCGCTCCTGGCTTGGTCCAGCAATCTCAAGATGAAGGCGGCATCACGCTTGGTGAGTTTGTGTCTGAGGCCCCAGGTCTTCAACTGGCTCTTGTATTGCTTGACTCTGGGGACGCGTTTGCGTTAGCACATGAGGCGGTAGGGCTGATCTAGGGGAGGGTTTCTCACGAAAGATTGATACCATATTCCCTTCTCATATAGTCCATGATCCAATTCAGGGGCCGCTCCTCATGGATATACAACTTTTCTATGCGGTCCTTGTGAGGGCCGAAAGCAACATCGCGAGTCTGTTTTGATTGGACTCGTTTGTAACCCGAGCCAGGCTGGGAACGAGGTCGTGGCAGGTTTGAGGGTCTCATAGTTACCCACAGGCCTTCAAGCCCTTCAAGCCACAACCGCTGAATCTGGGATAGAAAGAATGCGGGAAAGCACGCCAGCCCTTGGAGGGCAGCCCGGGTTAAGGTTGTACACTTGTCCAAGCAGGCAGGAGACAGACGCGGGATGCCATGCGAGGTTGAGGAATAACAGGATCACACCCAATCTAAAGGAGAGCTACAAACGCCAGATGCTGCAGCCCAGGCCACTTTGGACTCTTTGTAGCGAAGTCGAAGGCCGGGCATTTTGTTTCGCTGCAGTGGCAAAAGAGGGCCCGTCATCTGGCATCCTTTTTACGAGTACCGAGTAGTAGCAGTTTCCTTGCTCTTGTGAACCAAGGCAGAACGGGGGTTGCCTGGAAGGGAGGGAGGGGAGCCTCACGCGCCTTTTTTGGGGGCCGCTCCTCTTTTGGAACCTTGGAGACGGGCAAGGGGTCACGGAAAGAAGGGTGAGAGGGATGAGGGAGTCATACAAGTTACCGAGTCAGCATAACTAGCAGTCAAAACAGCCTAGTTGGATGCTGGTAAGAACCATGGAAATGAGAATAACCCACCTAATACAAAGGTTCCTTCGAAACAAAAGCCACTGGGACCAGGGGGGATGACATGAATAGAAGTCGACGTAACGAGTAATGAACGAGGGACTGAATGGTTGGGACTTGGATGTGGTAGGTAGCATGGAGACAGTGAGATACAAAGATTCCATGATTTTTCCCACTCTTTTGTTTGTGGACTTGTGGCATGACTGGATGAGAGAAAGGAGGCTGGGAAAAGGAAAACGGGTTGAGCCAAAAGTTCCATCAAGTGGTCAAAGCGATGAGATACAAGAAGGTGTTGTGGTAGGTGTAGCATTGATGGGTGGCAAAAAACATCCGCGTCTTACTTGGTCGGAGCTTTGAGTGACCGGGGCGGGGCGCGCGGTCCTTTCCTTGGGTCATGAGTTGTGTGGATCATGGATGAACGGGTGGTGGATTGCTGGATTAGAAGATGGTGAATGGTGGATGGATAGATGGAAGCATGAGTGAGTGAGTGCGTGAGTGAATGAGATGGTGAGAGGATGAGAAGATGAGAAGAAGAGACGCAGTTTGTGCCTTAATTCAGTTCCGCCAGGCATGAGGAAGGAACGAAGGAGCGAAGCACAGAGGGCAGGAGCAGAAGCAGGAGCAGGAACAAGCATGACAGGGAAGGCTGGCAGGAACCACTGTGCTGCTGCTACTCAGTTATGACTACACGCCTACATACACTTTCCTACGTAACCTACGAGGTAGCTCCCTAGGTACTCTACCCACCTCATCAACTACCTACACAGTCCCTACCTAGGAGCAGACACCCTCTTGGACACCTAGACACCTCCCTGGACATACACACCTACCTACCCTCTAGGTAGGCACCAACCCACCCACGTCTACCAAAAGTGAACTAAAAGGTAGAGGCTGGGGTGGGGTGGTTCGCTTCAAAGGTTCCATCAAAAGATCCCTTCTCTCTTGTCTGCCTCTATTAAAAAGGCAACCATCTCACCACCTCCGTCATTGGGGCCCGGATGCTTCTGTTCAGCCCCCAAGTGCTGTCCAAATTCCATGGTCAGCTGTATCATAATACCGGGGCCTGATGAGCACTCAAAGGTGCTCGTAGAAAGGCCGCGTGGTTCCCCGTCCCGATTCCCTTTTGACAATCAATTCCCTTTTCGTTAACGATTGAGAGAAGATTATCTTTGCTTTCTGCGTTCTTTTGTGAGGAAAATGAGCAGACAGGGGCAAGCGGGAACAACAGTGCAAGCATCACCACCATCGCTATCACTACGAGTACCCGGTACTGCTACGCACCACTCAACAAATAATGGGTCCAAAGAGTCTTTTGGATTGTTCTCCTACCAGTCAGCTCATTATTATGAATGGATGTTTGATTAAGCGCCCACAGGCTCCTCCCAGGTCGTTGAGTCCCAGTTATATCCATTCATCAGTGTCACCACCATCACCAACATCACTATGTACAACCTGGGTACCACTTGGGTGCCACCATCATCTTGGCTGCTTACCATCCCCCTTGTGGAGTTCAAGCCTCTCAGCAATCACCCCTGGCAATCCAGCTCTTTGGCTATTGTCCGTCGTCAGAAAAATAAAACCTACGAGTACTCGGTCTGTCGTACTGTACGAGGTATGCTCGTAACCAACGCCGTTATTGACAAGACCATCACCTGAGCATGATGATTTCCTAGCCAGACTAACCCCCCTTCCATGCCGATCACCGGTGAGAACAAAGGTCCTTCGAAAGTCCTTGCTGACAGACTAAGCGATGTTTGTTCCCCGAAGCCTCAAGACTCATCAGGCTGCACTTTTGTGTCTACTTGAAGGGAGCCCATGCCTTAGGCATCCACATTGTTTGGCTCGATTGGCTCGATAGGCTCTTCTGTCTGGTCCCTCTCCAGCTCCGTGGTCCATCTGAAACCCTGCCCGCCTTGATGAATAACGACAGCCATCTGTGGGGATCGATATCCGACTTCTTCGCTTGTTTCTTGCTTGCGTTCAAGCATGCTTTCATCCACTTACTCAAATGTTCGAGACTCTTTGATCAGAGGGTATCCACACTTTGTCATTGTCCTAGCACGCAGAGGACTTTTCGATAGACAAAAATATGTCTGTCGCTGCCGTGCTTGGTCCGACTGCGTTCCCCTCCTTCTTGAACGGGGGGAGCAGAAGCCTTTCGCTACCATCACACCCCGGTTCATCGGTTCAAGGTGACGGATACAACGGTAGGACTTTGAACAGATTCGTGATTGCACTGAACGTGGTCATCTCCAACAATTTTTATGGGAACCTTTGAGGGCCACATCAGTACACAAGGACCGCTTTGACTGTTTCCTCTCCATGGCACATTCAATAGCTGTATACGAGATATGTCCTTGTTGATATATGTTTCCCTGTTGCAGAAAATTCATTAAGTAG